TTCCCTGGGATGCAGATCTCCAGGGGCTCCAGGAGCAGCGATTCCAATGGGATGCAGCTCTCCAGGGGCTCCAGGAGCAGCAATTCTCTGGGATGCAGCTCTCCAGGGGCTCCAGGGACAGCAGGGAGCTCCTGACCCACCCTCGTGGAAATCCCATGTGGTGCCCACCCATTCCAGTGGGATGGGAAAACAACCCCCTTCCCAGATCCCAGGCACAAGGCACCGGGAATTTGTGGGACCTGGGGGGGTCTCCTGGGGTCCCATTCCAGCTCATCCCGCTGACTTTGGGGACCCCCAGAGTGCCCTGGTGTGGGTTTGGCACTTTGGGGGCTGTGTCCCCTCTCCAGGGAGGGAATTTGGACACGTGGGATCTGATCCAATCCAGGAATGTTGGATCCCGTTGGAGCATCCTGCAAATCCTCCTGCCATCCCCCCGAGGTGCTGGGGGGGCACCCCCAGAGCCCCGAACCCCTCGTGCTGGGGGGGCCCAGCCGTGTTTGGGAGCCATCCCGGGTTTCCAGGGAAATGCCATTTCCACCAAACAACCCCCAAATGTCTTTTGGCCTCTTTCCCGAGGCCTCCAGGAGTGGGAACCGGGGTCAAGGAGGCAAAAAGGAGGGGGGGTGGAGGATGGATTCTTTTGTCCCAGATGCTGGATGCTCCCACATTTATCACCATGGAAACAAAAGCCAACCACCCCCCCCCTTCCCCAGCGTTGTCTGGGAGATGGGAACGGCGCCGGGAGCTCGTCCCGACATTCCCAGCGAGCGCTGGGGGAAGGGGCCAGGAGAGAAAAGACCCCCCCTGTGCCCCCCCAGCCCCCCCCATTCCCGGGCTTTGTTTGCGGGCAGGGATCGGGTTTCTGCCGGGAACAATGCCTGGAGCTGCCTCCACCCAGCTCCAGCGACACCAGTAAGGGGCCGGCACTGGGACTGGGGATGGGGTCGGGGGTCTCTCACTCACCCGAGGGGCAGCGCGGGGGGTCCGGGCGAGGCGGCTGCAGGCGGGCACCGCCCCCGGTCCCGCTGCTCACCGAGGCACTTGGAGCACCCGGAGCCTCCGGAGGGGTCGGCATCCAGCTGGTGGGCACCCGAGGGGGGGTGGGCATCGAGGGGGGGGCTCAGGGGCTCACGGCACGGGCGGCAGCGCCGGGGGACCGAGGTGGAGCTGCGGAGAGAGAGGGGGAAATCAGGAATGCCCGCAGCCCTCCGGGAATGTCCCCCCGGGAGCGCTCCGGGACTCCCGGGAAGAGCAGGGGAGGAAGGTGAGGGTGGGATGGATTTCCCCACACACACACCTGCGGCCCTAAAAACTGCCCGAGGTCACCTCCCCGACCTCTCAGTCCAATGAAATTTGGGGTTTTCCAGGGATTTGGGGTTTTCCAGGGATTTGGGGGTTTTCAGGGATTTGGGGGTTTTCTGGGGATTTGGGGTTTTCCAGGGATTTGGGGGTTTTCAGGGATTTGAGGTTTTCCAGGGATTTGGGGTCTTCCAGGGATTTGATGCCCCTCTGGCACCACAATCCCACGGGCAGCAGCCCTGTGTCACCCCCGAGCCAGGGGTCCCCGGGGCCGTGCTGGTGGTGTGGGGACCTCAGGACAACCCCTGGCATTGCCACCCTGAGGGATCAGCCAAATTAACTCCAGGATTTTCCAGGTATCCCGGTATCCCATGGATTTAACACCCCTCAGCCACCACAGTCCCATGCTGGAATTCCCTCCTGGAATCCAGGGGTTCCCATGGCTGTGCCAGTGGCCTGGGGACACCAGGACACCCCCAAACCTGCCCGGTGTCACCACCCTGAGGGATCAGCTGAAAGAAAGTTGGGATTTTCCAGACATCCAAGTGTCTCACGGCACCGGCCCAGGGATTTAAGGCCCCTTGGCCACCCCAGTCGCACATTCCAACCCCTCTGGAATTCTCCCCTCTGATCCAGGGGTCCCCCTGGCTGTGCTGGTGGGGGGGACCCGGGGGCTCTCCAGATCCATGGAGGAGGTCGATCCATTCCGAGGGAGAACCAGGCACTGATTCCAACTGGGAGCTTGGCTTGTCCTTCCCAAACTGGTGACATTCCACAGGCTGCAGGGAGAGGCCTCGGGGGGCTTTCCCAGGGTTTTCCAGGGGTGTAGGTGGATTTTCCCAGTGTGATCCATGGATTTCCACACCCGGACCGAGGCTGGACCCTCCGTCCTGCCCGCACCAAAACGGCCCAACTTCCTCCGCAGGGGCTGGCGGGGGAATCACCCCCATCCCGGCAGTTTTCCAAGGATAGTCGGGAATTCAGGCAGCCATCCTGGAAGCAGGAGCTCCTCGTCCTCCCGTGCCCGTCTGGCTGCTCCAGCAGGGAAGAAGGGATGGTTTGGCCGGCAGAGCTGGGAGAAGCCGGTTGAGCAGCACGGGGCACTCGGCTGGAGGGGCTGGGGACGGATTCCTGGTGTCTCCAGGAGAAGCAGCTTCGCCTTCCCCAGCCCAGGGAGCGCCGGGAGCCGGAGCCAGATGCAAACGAGGAGGAGAACTCCCATTTTTAAGAGCCAGGTGATTATGAAGCGTCAGAACAAACTCTGCCCGGGGGGAGCAGAAGGGTTTTCTGCCCTCTCCCGACGTCTTTCAAGCCCAGACTGGATGATGGTTCCTGGGGATGGGGCCGGTTCAAAGCAGGGGGAGCTCGGAAAATCCGCTGCCTTTGAGTCCCCAACCTCAAACACCCACTGGCTTTTTGTATTCAAATGATCAAAAAAAAATAATAAAATAATAAAAAATAGATCCAAGCGTTTTGGAGATGAAAAGGCCGGTTTCAAACAGCTCCAGGGCGAATCCTGAGGGGAATCCTCTCCTGCTTTGCTCCCCTCGGGATTGAGAGCTGGACATGAGGCTTCCTGGAGAAAAATCCTCTTGGAGCAAAGGGCAGAGGGAGAATCCAGTGGCTGAGCAATTCTCCTGGCCAAGAGGGTTTGGGAAGGGAGCAGGGAGCACCCACTGCCATTTACACCCCTGGTGCTCTTCTCCCAGCACCTGCAGATCCAGGACAATTCCCTGAACGCTGGAATCAGAGCAGGAACCTGGGATGTGGATCCAAGAGGAGTGTGAGCAGGGCCTGGCCAGAGCTGCCTCCCCACTGCCAGGGAGCAGGAGGAGCCACCCAGGTGTTCTCCTCCTAGACAAAATCCCAGAATCCCTGAGGTTGGAAAAGCCCTTCCAGCCCATCCAGTTCATCCCCACCTTGGCACTCAGTGCCACATCCAGTCCTTCCCTGGGCACCTCCAGGGCTGGGCACTCCAAACCTCCCTGGGCAGCCCCTGCCAAGGCCTGAACACCCTTTCCATGGGGAAATTCCTCCTCCTGTCCAACCTGACCCTCCCCTGGCACAGCTCGAGGCCGTTCCCCCTCCTCCTGTCCCTTGTTCCCTTCCAGTGCCCGACGACCTTTCCCTTAGAGAAAAACCCTTGAAGGAAAACCACAAAGTTCCCTGAGGTCCCACCCCCCTCCTGCTCCTTGGGCACCCACCTCCTGGTATCCCCAATGATGTCCCCAATGATGTCCCCAATGTCTGGGAAGCAGCCACAGCCCCGTGCCCCCCCCTTGAGTCCTCGGGACCTGGAGGGGGGAGCCCGGCGGGGGCTTCCCGGGGAAGGTGCCCATTGTGTGGAGGCACCAGGGCGTGTTGGGGTAGCCAAGCAAACAAATGTGCTGCTGCTGCTGCTGCTGCTGCTGCTGCTTCACTCAGCAGGCCCAGTTTGGCCGTTCCCAGGCCGGTTTTGGTGTCACCAGCACGGCCATTGCTGGAGGTGCCCAGGGAAGGACTGGATGTGGCACTGAGTGCCAAGGTGGGGATGGGGCACAGGGGGCACTCGGTGACCCAGGAGGGCTTTTCCAACCTCAGGGATTCTGTGACTGGTGAGGAGAAGCCCCGTGGGAGCTCCTGCTTGGATGAGGGGGCAGATGGGCTCCCCAGGCAGGAGCTGTGGGCTCAAAACAGATCCCACGTCTATCCAAGCCCCAACCACCCAACAAGGAACCAGGGAGAGGCCTCCAAGGCAAATCACCTCCCTCCCCTCTCACTCGCCCCTCCCAAAGCACAAATCCCAATTTTCCTCCCTTTTCCTTGGCCCATCCACCCTTGGGAGCTGCAGCTTCACCGGGAGCTCAGGGCAGGTCCCGAGGTGATTCCCGTGGCTGAGTCCCCCCAAACCGGGCTGGGAGGGCCCTTCCCACCCCTGGAAAAGCCACTGCCGGTGGGAATCCACGAACTTCCAGCATTTTGGTCCGTTGGGATGTGGGAAAGGCCCCTGGGAAGCCCGAGTGGTTCAACCCGAGCCCCCCTGGGGTCTCATTCTGCTCTCCAGTCGCTCAGCGTCGGCTCGGAGGCAGGAGGTTTAATATCCCTTCCAAAGTGCCACCTCCAATTAGGGTCACCCGGGATTGTTACAATATCCAAAGGAAAGGGCCAATCCCCGGAGCTGCTCCGGCCCCTCCGCGGCTCCTCCGGCCGGGAATTCCCACTGAATTCCCACTGGGGGACGAAGCCCAGTCCTGCTCCCGGCACTGGGATCCCACTGGGAGTGCTGGGGATGCACTGCCTGCCCCTGGAACGGGGAAAAGTAGGGTCTGGAACCACGGGGGGAAAGGGAAGGGACAAAAGGCAGGGATTTGCTCGGGAACGGGGCTGGATGAAAAGGGGGAGAGGTGTTTGGGATGCAAAGTGGGCACTGAGGGATCTGACACCGAGGGATCCGACACTGAGGGATCCGACACCAGGGAATCCCACACAGAGGGATCTGACACTAATGGATCCCACACCAATGGATCCCACACCAGGGGATCCAACACCGAGGGATCCCACACCAATGGATCCCACACCAATGGGTCCCACACCAATGGGTCCCACACCAATGGATCCCACACAGAGGGATCCTACACCAATGGATCCTACACCAATGGATCCCACACCAGGGGATCCCACACCAGGGGATCCAACAGTGAGGGATCCCACACCAATGGATCCCACACCAATGGATCCCACACCAATGGATCCTATACCAATGGATCCCACACCGAGGGATTCTCCACTGGGATCCAACAGTGAGGGATCCCACACTGATGGATCCCACACCAGGGGATCCCACACCAGGGACCCTACACCGATCCCACCCCATCCATGCCTCCCTTCCCAGGGCTCCACGCCTGGCAGAGGGCTCAGCCCACATCCCACATCCCTGAATCCTCCATCCACCTCATCCCAAACTCTCAGGGAGGGGGTGTCTCCATGGAGACAAACAGTGGGGTTTCCCACTGCCCAAATCCCACCTCCCTGTCCCCCTCCTGCTCCCACCACACCAGTGGCACTTCCACATGGGACAAACCTTTTGGAGAGCCCAGGAGGCAGGAGGAGGCCCAGGGAGGAGTCTCAGGCTGCTCCCAAGTGGCACCACGGGATGCTCGGGCAGGAGGAGCCCAGGAGGCACCAGGGGCTGTGCCCATGGAAATCCATGGCCTTGGAATTCAACCCGTTCTCCAAGAGCAGCCTCCCAAACTCTGGGCCCCAAAAGGCCCATTCCTACCCCAAAAGGTCCATCTCTACCCCAAAAAGTCCATTCCTACCCCAAAAGGACCCCCAGAGCACCAAGGGCCGTGCTTTTAGATCCCTCACAGCTCTGCTCCGTCGGCTCCAGGTGCCCGACAACCCTCCCAGATCCCGCCAGGCAGCGTTATCCGTGCCTCGGATCCCGGAAAAGCAGCAGAGATGGGATCTATCCAGGACCAAGGAGCAAGGGGACCGTGTTCACCCATCACCACAGTGCCCTTGGAGGTGCCAGGGCTGGAATCCCTCGCTGGGGTCCGGCTTTGGCTCCGTGGTGCCCAGGAACAGCCCGGGAAGGGCAGGGATGGTCCCTGGTTTCCTCCGAGGCCCCTTCCCGAGGATCCCAGCTGGACAATAAAGCCATAAAGGATCTGCCACCCGCTCCAGCCCTCGGAAAACACAACTGAAATCTAAAATTAAGCCCGACCCGAGACCTGGGGCCGATCCAGCGCTGCCCAGACGCCGGGAGATGGGCCCCCCCCCCCCCTTCCCAGCCCCCCTCCGGCCCCATTGTCTGCGAGCTGGTGAAAACAAGGAACCACATTGGATCATTCCAAAGGCTGGAGGGAGCCCAGACGGAGCACGGGGGGTGCCCCGGCCCCGTTCCCACAGTGGGGGCTGCCCGTGGCACACGGTGACCCTCACCCCCACACCGGCCACCCCACGGTCCCCCGGCCAGGCAGGGAGCCACCGGCGGCTCGGCTGCTAATTAAATCATCCTCTCTCATCCCGAGCTTCCCCCCCGGCACAAAGACACCGGGAATACACCGGGGATCACATCTGAGCCAGGCTGCCTCGGAGCCCAGCTCGGTCCCAGCACAATCCCGGGTTGCTGTGATTAAGCACCGGCCGTCCCCAGAGGCTCCCTGAAGATAATATTTAATTCTTATTCTCCTTTTTTTGTGTGTGTGTTTTTCTTTTTTTAACCTCCACCGAGGCCTGGGGGGGTGGGGTGGTGGGGTGTAAAAAAGAGCCTCTACGCCCTCTCCCAGGGAAAAAAAATAAAGCCCCAGACAGAGCAGCAGGGCCGACGTGGTGTGGAGGAGAAGGGAAGGGAACTCCCTGTTGGCTCCGGGCTCTGCCAGGGCCGGACCAAGATAAACCGGCTCCGGATCCGGCCGGGGCTGTGCCCGGAGCAGGTGGGGGCAGAGCCGGGGGGCAGCGGGACCCCCCAGCCCTGGCAGGAGCAGCGGCCGCTCTCCCCTCGCCATCCTCGGCGCTGCCACCCCGCAGGTGGCGGGGGGGACACGGAGGGGACAGGGAGGGGACACCCCGCAGGTGCCCCCGCGCGGGGGTGATGGGCAGGGGGGGACAGCGCCGGGCTGAGCCCTGCAGGGCACAAAGGGCTCGGTGGGTACCGTGACATCGCGCCCGTGCAGCCGGGGGGGTCCCGGGGGGGTCCCGGAGAGGGGGTCCCGGTCCCTCCGCATCGCCCACCGGGGAGGCTCCCCGGGAGCCCCGTGCGAGGGAAGCGGCAGCACCCGGGGGGGATCGGGGTCATCCCCGCCCCGGGACCCCCCTCCCCGCCCCGCACGACCCGCGGCGCCCACAGCCCGGGCGCGGGGCTCGCCCAGCAGCCGCCGGGCCAGGAAAGTCCCCGGCTCCCGGGGCCCTTCCCGCAGGGACGCGCCGAGCCCGGCCCCGAGCCGGCCCCGCTCCCCCCGCCCCGCGCCGGGGCGGCTCCGCACCCCGGGGTCCCCCCGGTGCCCCCCCGGTGCCCCCCGCACTCACCATCGCCGCCGCACCTTTGTGCGCGTCCCCCCCGCACCGAAATCCCGGGGCTCCTGCGGCGGCGGCGGAGGAGGAGGAGGAGGAGGAGGAGGAAGAGGAGGAGGAGGAGGCGGAGGAAACCCCGATCCCCAGCGGAGCGTCCCCCCCCTCCAGCCCCGCCGCTCCCGGAGCCCCCCCCCCGTTCCCGGCCGCTCCCCCGCGCCCGCCCATTGTCTGCGCTCCGCGCTCCCGGCGCCCCTCCGGGGCCATTGTCTGGCGGGGAGGGAGGGGGGGGACACAAACACACGCACACAGAGGCCCCCCGGCTTCCTCCCCACCATCCTGCCGGGGGGGGGTCCCCGCCCCGCGGGGTCCCACCCTCTGCACCCGCCCCGGGGGTCCCACCCGCTTCCCCGGGCCGCAAACCCGCGTTTGGGGGGAGGATGCGCTGGGGGTGCCCCGATGGGGGGTCCCCGTTTCGTGG